CATATTAGGATTAGTTGCTAAGTATAATAATGAAGCTCTGATGTATCTATTATATATAAAAATCCTTCACTTCTATGTAATTAGAACAGAAATAAGACTAATTTTACTATAACCGGGATCCTAGTGGCAATAGAATCACTGGTTCTTGGACCAAGTCTTCTACGCCTTTTTTTAAGCCTTTATTAATCAACACAAATGAGATAGAATTAGTAAATTTATATAATTTACTTTAAATACATAGATCAAACAGGAGGAACTATTAATGTTACACCAAGTAATAGATTATATCCATTACACTTGAAGCTACATATAAATAATTTCAGTTTAACTGATCACCCTATGTGAACGACAGGGCGAAGGATTATATCCATAACATACATTTTAGAGTTAACACAAAATAAATAATTTTATTATTGATTGACTACATCGTGTGAAGGATATTGACAGTTTCTTCTGTTCATAGATCATGCTAATGGTTAAACGGATATTTGATACGATAAATTAACTATCTTCAATCAAAAATCTGTATTTAATTATTTTTACCCAACAGGAATTAGTTTTCAGTAATATTTATGTGAAATTTATCGGTTATATAAAATATTTCTTATAAGTTTTGCACAGCACCACTCACTAAAAAATGGTTTCTATAAAAAGGTATGAGTAAATAAACTAGCCCAATCTATTTTACGAATCTTGGCAATTAAACACTAAAAATTTTTTTATTTAGCTTTATTAATGAATGAAGCAACATATATATAACTAAGAAAAAATTTTTTTATAAAATGATTAATTGAAAATTTCACTATTTAAAAAATTTGGCTTTTCTAAGCCAGAAGTAAACAAAGTTTCTAAGCTCCACTTTGCTTCATTATCGTCTGCTGGATGTTTCATTCTTCCACCAAAGTTAAAATCCTTATCCCAATCAGAATTTAAAAAGATTTCATCTTCGCTATGATCAAATTGATTTTTATATTCGGTCATATTAATCCAATCATTAATTAATGAATTCCATCTTTGTTCTTCTGATTCGTTATTAGCTCAATCTTTGTCTTCATCTTCATTTATCTGGCATCCAAATTCATAATCATCATTAATACTCTCATCTTCTTCAGGAACAATTGGTGTAGCAATGTGTAATCGTTTAAGATCTTGTTCAGCCTTTTTAGCTTCATGAATGCGTCGATTATATAAAATATTTGATCTAACTTGACTCATCGCAAGAACTTTGGAAAGCTATACAAAAATTGGTTTTTATTTATTTTTTATCTATTTTTTATCGTTAGTACAATCAATAAATTTCATGAATTCTATAAATATTGTATATGAGTGCTACCAAAGGAAAACCTGACTTCGGACTTTCAATTATATTTTGTGTACAGTTTGTTCCCTGAGTGCCGTCTATTATCAGGTTTTCAATTATATTTTGTGACAATTCATCACAAAATATAATTGAAAACCAATGGTAGACGGCACTCAGTAAACAAACTGTACATAAAATATAATTAAAAGCCCGAAGTTAGGTTTTTTCTTGGCAGCACTCATATTAATATTGTTTCTATAATGGTAATATGCAGAATTCAAGAATTCATGTAATGTATTGATTACACTAATTCAAAATAGTAATAATTATTACACATATCTTCAAACAATTTCTTTTATTTGTATGTAATAATCCCATTGATGACCATAAACGTTCCACCGAAGCAGAATTAACACAAATTCCATGAATTCGAATTGCAGTACATGCTAATTCTGGACCAACTCCACATGTAGAATCCCAAAAATCTACAAGATTACCCTTAAATTGTTTGAACGAATCATTATCATAAGGATCTTCTTCTCTTTTATACTTAATAAGCTCTGATAAAATCGTTTGAGGTTTGTTTCCAAACCATGATTCATAATAATACTTTAACCATTGACCTGTATTTATTTATATTATTTATTATATTATATATTTAAAAGAAGAATTTATAATTATAAATTTATATTAAAATCTTAACCTATATGAGTCCAAGTTAAATTATTTACATCACTTTGAAATTTTGAAAGTTTGTAACTCGCAAATGAAAGAATAAGAAGTGGTTGCTCCCACTCATTCCAGTGAGATTCCATTCGCTCTACCATTCTTGTACTAAAATTTAAATCGTTATGATTATATAAAATTTTCATTGTATAACCAAAGCAATGTAAAACCTCATATAAACGAGCAGTATCTTTTTGTAATATATTTAAAAAACCACATAATAGATACAAAATATCTTGTAGCTCAAATAAGGTAGACCAAAATGATGTATCATTAATAATATCAGCAATTTCATCAGGAAGTTTTCGTTCTCCATTTGATCGTGTTGATCGTTTGTCTGTTGGCATATTCGCAACTCCATTAAATCGAATTATATTAGCCCTTTCAGGGTTAAATTTGGCTGAAATAAACTAAAGATAAATGAATAACTATGTATTTATTATATAAAAGCATTATATTATACAATTTAAATTACTTTTAGAGCGGCTTGTGTTTTTAAAATTGAATGAAAACAGAAATAGTAACTGCACCACCTTGTATCAGCAGGTAAGATTAATGAAATTGTTTTTGAATAGATTCTAGTTTGTTCATCTCACAAGTTTCCAGTAAAATAAGACGAATTATGAAAAAAGCTTGCAATTTTAATTGCTTCAGTTGAAATTCTTTTATACAATCCACATTCTTTAAAAATTTCACCAAAAATAAGATTCATTTGGTGGGCCATACAAGGCAAAAATATTTTAGATAGATATTTTCTTCGAAGCTGTCGACTATATATTGTCATATAAAACATTAATAATTTAATTATGCAGGATAGTTTTAAATAATTATTTACCGTGCTGCAGCATATTCCCCAGCGGAATCTGATACAAACGACTTTATATTAATATTGTTTGAATGAGCATCTCCTATTAATTTCTCAATATGCCGAATTACATCTTCTGTTTTTGACCGCTCAGCACTTATATTATATGCTTTTCAAACTAAAGGTTGACCACAAGTAGTTAATAAAACAACTCCCCAAATATGTTCTTCACGAACATTAGTCCACCCATCAAACATAGCCGTTACTCCATCAATATCAGACCGTGCTTTTTTAACAATTTCTTCTTGAAGCGATTGTGTACTATTGGTCAAAATATGACCCCCCATTGTCTTACGTTTTGGTAATTCAATACCAGGTACAAGAAACTGAAATACAGCAACTGTATCCTCATTTTCAATAAAACTGAATGGCAAGCTATTTGATACTATCATTCGAAACAAGAGCTTTTCAAATCGTAACATATCACTTGATGACATAGGTTGACCAACAAAATTTTTAATAGATTGTTGACGACTATTTAAAGAGCTAGATGAAGATGGTAAAACTTTATATTTTTTATTTGCCTCAGTAGATTCTTCATCATTACTAGAAGATAATTCTTCATTGTCGTCTAATAATTTTATAATAACATTTAGTATTATTATTAATTAAACTTAAATAAACTAAAATATTCGAATATAATAATACTTTTTTTGCTTGATTTTCTTTTTTTATTATCCTCTGGTACAGAAATAGCTTTAATTCGTTCTACCTCCTCTTCACCATAATCTGCTACAAAATTTTTACATTTTATTAAATGAGCACGACATAATCGTGATCTATTTGCTGTATAACAGTCAGAATTTAATTTGGCTGCTTCTAAATCACCACATTTTGATATGCAGCTTTTACAAACGGCTAAAGCATTTGATTTATTATTTGGGTTATTTACTAAAATGAAATAACTTCTAAATGGATGCGGCTCACTGGGAGACATAATTAAAAAACTGGAAAAAAAAACTCAAGATATAAGATTC